TCATTCTCATGGATACCAGCATGTGCTGGCATCCAGCACAGTTATCTTATTACGTGCTGACATCAGTGTTAATCTTGAACCTCCCTTACCACTGGATGTGATGAGTTTCTCTTGATTGCTTGCAAATAACGACGAGAGTCGCAAAATATTACAACAATGGTTTTTACGATCTCCAGTTATTTTGACTGCTGCAAGGATGGCATGTAGTATATATATATATATATATATATATATATATATATATAATATATATATATATATATATATATATATATATAATATATATATAATATATATATATATTATATATATTATATATTATATAATATATATATATATATATATAATATATATATATATAATATATATATTATATAATATATATATTATATATATATATATATACAATGTAATATATTGTATATATAATATATATATATATATTATATAATGTATATATATATACAATATATATATATATATATATATATATATATTATATATATATATATATATATATATATATATATATATATTATTATATATATATATATATATATATTATATATATATACATATATATATTATATATATATATGTATATATATAATATATATATATATATATATATATATATATATATATATATATGAATTGGAAGGATTGTAGCGTCTTTCCATGTGGATGGCACTATGCCCTCCCTAAAGATTCTATTGAACAGGTCTAACATGATTTTTTGGGAGATTTCCAATAAAGTGGCAAATTGTATGGGAGCTCTGCATTCCTACTATTAGACATCGTTTCTGTCCAGTCTAAAGGGCAGAGAATCGGACAGCAGAAAATGCATTTTTTTTTTCAGTGCAGGTGGTGAAACGGATGTGCTCTTTCCAGCTATCATGTGCATTTTGTCCCGGAGTTAATCAAAGAGACATACTGTCTAAACGTCCATCCAGCCTCCTCTAGTACTCACCTAGCGTTAGCGTGGGTACTTTTGTGATGGATCAAAGTCACATCACAAAATAAAATGAAAGTGGGAATTGAAAAAAACATAAAAGAAATAAAAGTTAAAATGTTAAAAAGAAATAAAACACTTAAAACCGAAAGCCATCCCCAAGGGTTCTTAACAGTGGGGTTCCCCGGTTTCTTTCATCATTTAACTTTTCTGTGTACGTGCAACATTTAATGAAATAAAATAACGAATAATAAAAAGGAGCCTGGACACAACTTACAAAAATAAAAGGTACATAAAGAACTAAAAACCGTTATTAATATTTACTATTAGCACGGCTTTATAAAGATAACAGTTCTGCCAGGTGTTCCACAGCGAGCACAATCCAAAACCAAGCCTAGTTAAACAATATGGGCGTCTTCTGTAGCGTCCTTAACTCTTAATACCGTATTTAGTTTAATCCTGATCCACCGTGTCCGTACCTAAGACGACACTCTCCGATGCCAGACGGCACGACAATAATGGTCAGTAAAAACTGTCGTACTCACTATTCTATCACCACCGTTATCATGTAAACATCTCGGAAAGAAGAGAAATGCCGCGCGTGAAATTTGCTCTTTTGGGAGATTTCATGTTCTTTTCTTTCATTCTTTTTGTAACGTCATGTTTTGGTAATCATATTTAAGAAACTATTTAAGACATCTCTTGGGTTTCAAAATATTTATTATATTTAATGGGTATTTCATGAAACTGAGACTTACTAATGTTTTCGTAATGCTAATTATCTTATGCTTCTTTTATCTCTGCACTGCTTTGCCTCCTAATTGTTTGAAGTATTCTGTAAATATTAATATAAACTTCTCAGATGCTTCTGAAGACCACCTTTTCCTTCCCTTCATCCCAGACGTACCTACATGATTGAAGACGAGGCATTAATAACTTATCCATATTATTAATCAATTCTTTATGCCTCCCAAAAAAAAAACTAAGACTAGCATCATATCAAAGTAAGAAAGTTCGCACCTCTATTTTCTGTACACATTTCCTCAAGATTATCTGTTTCAAATACGACTTGTTTGGAATCTTAAGTTGTTGGACTGTCTCTTTAAATTTCTATCAATCCAGCTGGTCTGTGATAGTGATGGTTCTGCCCTCTGCTGTTGATGTGAAGATCCTGGTCTCGTATTTCTGGGCGTGTGGGAATAGGTTTTACAAATCTAAAGGGTGGGAGCTGAGGTATGTTGTCTTTTTATTGCCGAACAATCTGTGGTATTTTGAAACATTTCTGTGCAATGTTCTCTTCACACGTTTGCATTGTGTAAGCGTTTGGAGCAAGTTATTCATCATAATAAGCAACAAAAATCCAAAAGATATAATCAACATTCACCCTTCATGTCCCTACGCATATAGAAGACAGTATTAAAGATATTACCTAAAGATTTGCAGTCCGATATAAAATTTACATGGATAAATAAACCTTGCAATTTGCATTCAGACACTGCATTGTCACAAAAAAAATTCTGACAACTGATATTCATTTTTTATAGATTGGAGAAAAGGTGATTGTTATAGAAAGTTGTAGTCAGTCACTCAAGATGCAGTTTGATCTTCATATGATAATTACGAGGCACAAGTAGGCTTACTTATAAGGGAAACATAATTCTTTATGACATATTCTATTTTTTCATGACAACGATCTTATATTTATAGTAGTAAAATGGGTAACGAAACTGCTCTAACAACTATAAAAACAATCTTTATTTCAATGACACTCAAGTACAAAAATGACATTCACCAAATAATATCCATCGCGCAGTTTCCTCGGACAGCTCTTTGCTGCGTTGAATCGTGTTGGAGGAGGGAGACATGTTTTCTTCAGGATACTGTTCAGGAGGTCCATAGAAAAGTATACTTGTTAATTTTGTAGTAAAGTAGTTGAGAAAAACTCAGCACATAATTCTTCTTTAAAACACTGGTTCATATTTGATTTAAAACGTCAACTTGTGTGACCCTGGCCATATTATTTTTGTTTCACTAACCTGGAAATATGAGTTCCATGCCCGCAGCCTCTGAACTTCAAAGATTCCTCGTGGGATTATATTGGTTTTTATATTCATTACCATAA